AAAAATTTCAGGTGAAAAAACTTCAGCTGAAACTGAAGCTGCTGAACAATTTACAGATGAATTCATTGAACTCATTACTAGTGAAAAATTATCTCCAGAACAAATTTACAACCCTGATGAAACTGGTCTTTTCTGGTAATATGTACTGTGAAATACCTTTGTAACCTCTACAGAAAAGGCTCCAAGTGGTGTCACATTCTAAAACAAGACTAACAATTTTAGCATGTGCAAATGCTGCAGGAATGCACAAGTGCAAACTTTTCATAAACGGAAAACATGCACAACCTCGAGCATTTAAAGGAGTAACAATTTTCCAAGTTATATAGTGTGCAAATAAAAGAGCATGGATGACACAAGCGTTAATGAATGAATGGTTTGAAAATCATTGTATACCCTAGGCTCGGCAACATTTGAATTTGGTTGGTTTACCTGATGACTCAAAAATAGTCCTGATTGTAGACAACTGTTCAGCTCATACTTCACTTAAAGTTTTAGTGAAAGATAATGTATCCGTATTATTCTTCCCTCCAAATCGTACCATCATTCAGCCTATGGATATCAGAATAGTGCATGCGCTGAAATCAGGGTTTGTACACATTTTTGCACACGGAAATTAAGTACTTTTAAGGACCATTAAAGAAAAATATTAAGGAAATATGAGCAAATGCAAACTGAATAAATTCAATTAAAATTATTATCTATGCCTGAATTTCACGTTTGTAATACCATCCTAAAAATAAAATAGATCCGTACGTAGGATGCATTATTATTAAACATAAACTAATTAACATAATTATTAATAAGTTTGAGAATAAAATAAACTTTATGGAATTTATCAAGCATTAAATATTTTACACTCATAAAAGTTGGAAATATTTGAAAGAAGATAAGTGAAATTTTATTTACGTTTTACTAACAGTTAGCTTTATGTTGATTTTTTTTAAATGTTTCATTTTGTCACATACTTGCTCAGTCTAGAGGTTTAGTAAATAGCAGGCAGATTTTATGTCAAGCAGCACAGGTTGAAATGAGATGGAAGATTATAAACAGCATGATTCATAAGAAAAGTTTGGATGTTGTCACCACTACTGCTTGACTGCAGAGAGACCTGCTGATTGGAACAAACTTGAAAAGCCTGACATAAAACCTGGTTGGCAAGTTTTGAAAGTTAGTTAGGCTCTGTCTGACACAGTTAAGTGTCATAGTTTCGTGTAGAGTTCCTGGGGTTGAAACCCAGTTAATATACTTTAAGGTTCCAATAAGCCACTAAAGCCCAAGAGGTGATAAGTTGTTTTGTATTATTTTAAGTCTCACTAGATACAAATAATAAGTTTTACATGAATTTTTATATTTTTGTGTTTTATCTTGTGGCCAAAGTAAGGATTAATGAAATTCAATAACTCACTTTAATATGGAGACACAATTTTTAAGAGTAAAGCTACAAAACATTTATGTTTTGTAACAAGAACACTCAACAAAATATTTATGTATCTTTTTAATTTGAAGCCTTCCCAGACATTTTGGTTAATTTATATCGATTTCCATCTCTTTAAGCATCTTTTCTAACAATCAGAAATTTGTCTTAATACTCAAACCAATGTTCTCACTAGTTTCTGCATGCTTTATCTCCTAACTTGTCAACATCTCCACAATGCACCTATGAGGGTTTACTTGATCTGATAAAAGTTAAATAGTTCAAAACCCCTGACAGACATGAAGCAAATTATGTCTGAAAGTAACTACAATATCAGACAAAGGTTTAAATAAGCCTCTTATTTTAAAAGAATGTAGAACATAAAGACATGTTCTTATGCTAACAAAACCAATTGCAGCTCGTGGTGATGTAATTAAACAATAACAGTCAAATTCAAACTAAAAATGTGGACTAGTGGTCATTCAGTATGTATAGAAAGAGATCATCATGACACGTGGACTTAATACATGTGATCAAAGACTACACAATTTAATTTAAATTTAAGCTAGCTCAGTAACTCTATCATATGAGAAAACAGAAATGGGAAATTAGTAAAGGCTGAAATCATAAACAACTGGGTAATTTATATAATAATAACTGTACATATCTTTGAATCTTTGAAGAATAATTCTCTTTAAGTACTGAGTTTCTTTCTTCAACATGTTTCCTTTCTTTTTTAGAATTTTCGGATTTAATTAAGGATTTCTGTTATTCTTAAAAAAGAAAAAAAAAAAAAAAAAAAAAAAAAAAAAAGTGTATAGAAAAAGTTGCTAATTTTATTTCTTAAGTAATATGAAAGTTCAGAAAAATAGGAAATATATATATGGTAAGGACCGATTACAGAGCTGGTGTCACAGAATTTTTAGAATTTAGCGACACACCAAGCAACAAAATCTAGAAATTCGTTAGGCAGCAGAATTTAGGATCCACAGATATTGCATCAGGTGGGAAAATGCCTAGCTCTAGCTAGGCATGATTAGGTAAGCATGACTAGCTAGGAATGATGCATTAAAACATATTAGATGAATCTTTTAAATTGTAAATTTTCAATTTCTTTATTAATTAAAAATGCCTTCCTATAGAAACGCATTTTTTTATTTCTTTTATTTTTTATCCCACGCCTGCTCATTTGATAAGATTAGAAGCATTTTTTATATTTTCCATGCTTGTGTATAGTGAAAAGTAGAGAAAATAAAAAGAAGATAAAAATGTTAAGAAAAAGATTCTAGTATCAGAAGTAAAACATTCAAATATTATGTTTTCATTGTTCTTCCAGAAGTTCTCCAAAACATAAGAAATACATCCATTACGTGTTAATACCATGGAGACATTTTTCCTTTTGTCACATATTTCTTTTATCTTCTAGAATCGAGGGACTATAAATCTAGCCTTCAAATCCATCTAAACCTTTCAAGCTGCAATGCCTAAAGTCATAAAGAAAAATTATCCCTACCAATTCTGTAACAGCAAAACCCAGAAATATTTTGGAAAAAAAAAGGGGGGAGGGAAGAAGTGTAAAAATAATTTTATAGGGAAAACTGATGAATATTTTGAGAATTTTGAATATTTTGAGGCAATTACATAGGAAAAACTCTTACTATGAAAAAATTAAGAAGGAGACATTTTTAATTAACTACGTAACTAATTTTGCTTTTGCTAAGATCTGTAGTAAATTGTATTTTATAGCACTATACCTTGTTTATTTTTTAGATTCAAAATATTGTATAAGTTGCCAAAATAGAACTTTATAATAATATGGCAGCAAAAAATAAAAATGTTTTAACATTATTTTTTAAATATAATTTCAATATATTAAGATTATTTTAATGAAATTGATCAATGTTACAATGTTTTTAAAAAAATATCATCGAAAAATTCCCAGATCTGGTAATTAAAAATTTTCTATGGAAACTGATCTTAAAATTGCCAAAATGTTGATAAGTCACCAAATTTAGAGCCGTTTAATAAAAGAGTTTACATCCCCAAAAGCGAACACCTTGCTCCGAAACTTGAGGATCCCACCGTTTATATTAGAAATAGGAACAAATTATAACCCATGACCCCATTCAATCTTTCAAAAGGTAACCATATATGCCAGTGAATCACCAAAAATATTCCTCCAAAATGCTAATTAACACTCAAAATGGCAGCCGTAAAAACAGACAGAAATTTCAGATGATTAAAATTAAGGATCTTCTGCAGATTTTGGCCAAAATTAAGGACTTTTAAGGACCAAAAATCGATTCCAAAAAACCTAAGGACTTTTAAGGACTCTTAAGGACCGTACGAATCCTGTGAAATGCAAATATAAAGTAGCATTTTTAAAATCTATGTTAAATTTCTTGAACAATGGCAAGACTATTAAAGAATTTTTGAAATATTTTAGCATAAAATCTGCTGTGTGGAGCATCGCAAGATCATGGGAGGATGTGTTTCCAGATATGCTAAAATATGCTTGGCATAATTTATAGCCAGCTACCATATTTCATGGTGAGGATGATGAAGATCACAGCTGTGAATTTGAAGGTTTTCAATGCCCCAATCATCAATCAACTAACGGACGGCGAAATCTGCAGTATGGTTCTAGCTAGGTCCAGAAAATACTGCTACCGATAGTGAAGAAAGTGACAGAGAGGTTATTGAAACAAAAAAATTTCGATTCACAAGTTAGTTGGTATTCTCGACAAAGCAATTACAGGACTTGAACAGTGCAGCTTTGTAACTGAACAAGAAAATATGTCTGTTAATCAAATTAAAGAAAAAGTATTAGTACAAAAAATGAAGCAACTTAAAAACAACTTGCATTGAAAAAATGTTTAATAAAAAAAAAAAATAAATAAATAAATAAATAAAAATATTGAGGTGTTTTTTTTCTTTTTTTTTTGTAAAATTTGATACCTTTTAGAATCCCTCTTTATTTCATAAATTATGGTTTCATATTTTTAATTGTATAATTTCTGCATGCCATCTTATTAGATTTAAATTGATGATCTATAATCCGGAAACATCCCAAAAATGGAATCGCTGAAGTCCCGACAAGTCCGGATTTCGGACTTTGTACCGTATTAAACATTACACTTTTTTTCTTCATCAATTTTAAGTCCTCTACATTTCAGTTCTTAACATTCATCAGCCCCACATTACTAAATTCAGCTTTTTTCTTTCTAAAAAGTTTCAAGCAATGTAATTTCTCATATTTAAACCTGACAATAAAATGAAATTCTCAGATGTAAAGAATAAGATATCTAGCCTTCACTCACGGGCATTTATTAAAATCTATTTAATGCCACTCTACATATAAAAAGATAAATCTGCAGATGTTTAAAATTTAGAAAATGTGAGTAATTATGCAAAAAAAGGAGGGGGCAAATTAGCTATCACTTTCTTTGGATACCTGACTGCTGACATTTTGTTTTAATACAAAATGAATAAATAAAATAAAATTAAGAGCATCTATCAGTTTTAAAGTTTTAGTGAAATTATGTTAATTCATATTGTATTTTTTGTAATAAGCTTCAAAACTTACGAAATTGGCTCGGTAATGCCACTACTTTTACCAATGCCTCCACCAGTCCATCCCATCATTTTCATCATTTTACATCCAATATTATCTTCTGTTAGAGCACTGGAAACAGCTGGAGCACTTCTTAACTGCTCAGGCTCTATAGTGAACCCACTTGCATCTTGGTTTTTTACCTGCATAATAATTACCATCAGAATTTGAAATTCAAACTAAAACAAGCAAAACTAAGATATTGAACATTACAGCAGTTATATCAAAATCCTATAAACTAGAATTTTTCAGTTAAAAGCCTAGCACATAATACACAGTTAAACAAAAACACTAGAACTACCGACAAAAGTATGGGTTCAAAATTATTTACACCATGGATTGATTTGAAAGAAGCTTTGTGAGAATATAGTAGTAATGTAGCTCTCCCTACTATTCCTCGACTGTTTATCAGAAAAGGGGTGGGTGGAACATAGCCTAGCTATGGTTTTCAGCACCTGGATACAACTGAAGATTTCGCACACCCTCCTGTTTGCCAAGAAAGGAAAACATTTAATTCTAAAATTTTGTAAAATCAATTTGGTGCCACATGGATGCTGCATGGGGACAGATGACCCTTCTGCTCCTTCCTAACTATGCTAGTGGAGTGGAAAGATCCCATACTCTCACTAGATTTCATCCAAATAAGTTCAATGGATAGAAAAACTTCTAACAGCATTCTTTATTTATCAAATACATTTTTATCCTTTAGCATTTTATATATTGCATTCCTAAAGTAAGCACATGTTAGCTATTCAATGAATGCCTAGTAAAGAACTACAAGAAATTGCGGCATAAAATCACATTTTCTCATGCTGCTTGTTGAGATGAGACAATGAATGAATGAATAAGATGAATGATTTTTTACTAAACATAAATTGTATGTTACTATGTATTCAGCATGTCAGTGCAATCAATTTAAAATCCAGCATACTAATAATAAAATTAATTTTGAGAAATCAGTTTGTAAATAAGTTTACAGTATATAGTTGATATTGTTTATATTAATGGCATGCTTAAAAATATTTTAAAAGTATGTATTGACACACTTAACTGAATTATTAGAGTTACTTTCAAATATAAACTCCTCTAAATAACAAATTACTTAATAATAATGGCACAAATTAGAACTTACAGTGTACAAAAATTTATAAATGGAAACATACTTTATGGTTACAAAGAAATAAAAACATAATCAGTTAAATAATGAAATAATATTGAATTTAACTTTTAATGATTATATTTAATTCTTTTTATAGCTTTCTTTGGCTTCCTTATTCAGATCATCATAAATACTAATTCAGAAGACAAACAACAAAAATCAGCGTTATATTTACAAAAATAACGCTGATTTTTGTTGTTTGTCTTCTGAATTAGTATTTATTCGGCGTGTTATTGTGTCTTAATTATCATCATAAATGCTTAATGTGTTGATTACCTGGAATTGACTGAACATATGAAAGTCAAAAGCATCTGTGTAAAATCCCAAAAATATATATTTAGTGGTAAAATGCACAGTTTATAGGAAAGATTGATATGAGTAATAGAATTATCTCTCTATGTGTGTGTTTGTATATATATACATATATTATATACAGTAAGACCCCCGCTTAATGCTGTTTCGTTACGCTGTTTCGGTTTAGCGCTCTTTTTTCAACCCCCGGGGATTCTCCGAAATTGTGCGCAGCGCTAGGTTTCAAATACATATCCGAAACAGTGTAGTTGTGTTTCTTGCTTTGTGGACGCATTTTTCATTTGAAACATTTGTTGACATTATTGGAAGTATAAATTTATATAATACTACAACGATTAATACAGTTACAAATATTATGATCTTTAGGTTTTATCAAGGGTGATAATAAAAAACAAGAAAAGAAAGCAACCGAAAAAAAGCATTTCACTGGAAACTAAAATGCGAGTGATTAGAAGATTAGATTCTGGTGAACGTTAGTCTCAAATTAGGGCTGCATTGAATTTGGCAACTTCAAGAATAAGGACAATTCTTAAGAATAAAAAAAAAATACTGTAATCGGCAACTGCAACTACGTCAAGCTCTGCAACTAGAATTACCCGTTCTAGAAATACATTATAGAGGAAATGGAAAAACGACTGTCTATATGGATTGACGACGAAATTGAACGCAATGCATTAAGCCAATCTATCATAATGCCTTTTGACAAAAAGGCAGAATTGGAAACCCAGAAAGATGATATCTGACTGAGAATTTTATTTGTTTTAAAGATAGTATAATGTTTATTTGTTTTTGTTTTTTTTTTATTAAAAACATTATTAAATTTAATGCCTAACCAGTTTTTTCCGTTTCCCCTAACCCCATTATTATGTTTAATAGCCTCGCTTAGCGCTGTTTCGCATTACGCTCTACTTCGATGGAACGTATCCCCAGCGTTAAGCGAGGTCTTACTGTATCTGTATATTTTAAGTAAAAGTATTTATGAGTAATTTAAAAATCCTAATAATATTTACATTAAAGCTGCTATGTAATAAATCAATTATTTACTGTTAAAAAAGGTTTTTCGGATACCATCTCCAAGGAACAGAAATTTAATTAAAACGATGAATCATTGGAATAAATTTTAGTCAGTATTTCAAAGCAATAAATTATTGGAATAAATTTTAGTCAGTAATTTAAGCCGTATTTAAAGTTATATATATAAATAATTTTTTATATTTAAATAAACACACATATACATATATGTGTGTGTGTGCATATATATACATGTATGTTGTGTGTATAAATGTAATAATTCTGATGCGTAGTCATGACGGCAGAGTGGCAAGACGAGATAAAGATGACGAAACCGGATTCCAACAAATAACCAGTCTTTATTTTCGCACTTGTCAAATCATTTCTTAGCAGATAAGATATTTCTAGATCATAAGCAATTAGAATATTTTTTATATGCAAATTATATCATTTTAGAATAAGAAACAAAGGAGGGCATAGCAGCATAGAGATGTTTGCAGGGCAGAAGTTAAGGAAAGCAATGATATAATTAACTCGTGATATTTATACCAAAGTAGATGCAATTGTAGAGATAAACTATGATTGGTTACTACAGTTTTAGTTACCCTTTTCAAGTAGCGTTATATAACATAGAAGGATCAAATGAATTTAGGGTAAGAGCACCGAATCTAGAATATTAAATTTTGATGTTGCCAATTATGCTTAAAGCAGCTGTCATATTTTGTTATATCTTACATATAGCTGCCTTGAGAATAATTTACAACCTCAAAATTAACTATTTTAGATTTGGTGCTCTCCCCCTAAATTCATCTGTTCTCCCAAATTCGAGATCCTTCTATGTTATATAACGCTACTTGAAAAGGGTAACTAAAACTAATATTAACCAATCATAGCTTATCTCTACAATTGCATCTACTTTGGTATAAATACTGAGCTAATTAAGTCATTCCTTTCCCTAGCTTGAGCCCTGCAAACATCTCCATACTGCTATGCCTTCCTTTGTTCTTATTCTAAGATGATACAGGGTTGCCACTGAAAGAGGAGAATGAAATTCCCTGACTTTTCCAGGTTTTCCAGATGGTTTTGAGAAAATTCCAGTCTATCCGCATAGTGCGTGTTGGCTGCGCTGAGAGGTAAATTAATTATGGCACCACTTGAAAACACAAAAATCTGCCAATTGCATATGACTTATTATATATATAATCCTGAAAGCATTACTATTATAGCTATAATAGGAGTTGTTTTCTCCACTGAAGACTGAGATTAGAATCTGCCCAATCTGGATTAAAAAATGAGTTTTTCTGCAGACATTTTGCAGCTAAACAATAGAAAGAAATCTATAGAATGATATTTTAAAATAAATTCAGGTATTTTATATTTATTTAGCAGCATATATAAACAAAAATATGTGCATTAAATTTCATGATAGTATGTCATCATACTGCTAGATTTAGTTTCGAAAATTATGCCAGAGAAATTTGCTTGAAATTTGAAAGTATTATTAACTAATAATAAATAAATTTAGAGGAAAGAAGAACATTAAATGATACAAATAACATTAAAATGAATTACTTAAAAATTGAATTACAATAACCAATGATATTTTGGCAAACATTAAACCTTAGCCTAGACGACTGGTTACTATTTTTTTATTTTACTGCAAAATGAAAAATAAGGCATTTAATTAAAATGAAAAAAAAAGTTCAAAATAATTTGCAGTAAAATCCTAGTCTTTGCTTTGGCCTTTGTACAATTTTGAAAACTGCTGCCAACACCAAAATGACCGGTTTACTACCCAACACTTTAAAGAGAGACTAAGAGACAGAAAGAGGTAACTGTTGTTACTGCTCATCATAATGTCATCAAATCCCATGTGTACCGTACATGGAGGTTAGAATACAGTCAAAAGTCATTAATTCGGACACCCATAATCTAAAATGATCTATAATCCGGACCTCAAAGCTACAAACTTTCATGCGCGTAAGAACTTTACGTCTGCGAATATGCGTGTGCGCAAAATACGTTTACGAATACGCGTTTAATGTATAATGGATGGTATAAGCTAAGCTAAAATTATCTAATTCAGTTAATGTTGCAGACTGCGTTGCTTCTTAATCTTCGAATTGAATTCGGCTTATTATTTTTTGCAGACTGTTAGAGCAATTTTATAAAAGTCAGCTTGAACTTTCGATTATGTCAAATAGAATTTCTGATATATATTTACTAATATGTAAAGGATCTACAAAGTGAAAGTATGTTTCGAAGTCCATTAAACAAAAAGTGGAATTGCTGCAAAAAATGGATAAAGGCATATCTTTGTTTATCTTTAACGCTGCGGCGCACAATGAATTGGAAGTTGATCTGTCAGCACTATCCTTATCTTCAGGGCAGATGTTTTTATTTTATTTGGCTTATAATTCCTTACTAAATGTAGTATTTCATCTCGATGTACTCCGTCTTTGATATGATTTAAATCAAATTCCTCGTCATTATAATTCGCTTCTGATAGCGAAGAAAGTAACAGAGGTTATTGAAAACGAAAAAATTTCGATTGACAAATTAGTCGGTATTCTTGACACAGCAATTACAGGACTTGAACAGTGGAACTGAACAAGAAATTATGTCTGTTTAATAGAATTAAAGAGAAAGTATTATCACATG